TCTGCTCCGTGCTTCTCTCTCCTGCAGGTTGTGGGGTTGCCGTCTCACACCCGCCTGCTGTGGGGATCTCGCTGCTGTTCTCGGCACCAGCCCCAGCCTGACGGAGCTGCACCTGAGTGGTAACTCTGATCTGGGGGATGGCGGTGTGCGGCTGCTGTGCGAGGGACTGAGACATCCTAGCTGCAAGTTGCAGACACTGCGGTAAGAAGCGTGCAGCTTCCTCCGGGCACTCACTAGGGTCTCTCTGGAAACGTTCAACACAGCGAGGTGTCTTCGTCCTGGTGTTTGGGACAGTGGGATAGGTCGGCTGAGCACAGATGGCTCGGTCTGTGTGTCTGGGTCTGTGTTGGGTGTGGTGACCGTACTATTTTTAGTGAAATCCAGGACGCAATTAAGGAAATCAGGGATGGGGTGCACTATGCACCTGCACACACACACACGAATGCAACCCTGTGCCTCCTCACACCTCCCATCCTCTGTGCACACCCCCCCCGTGCTTGTTCATACACACACACATACATGCACGCAGATCCTCCTGTGCCTGCTAGCACTCACACACACACACACACCTGTCTGCCTCCTCACACATACACAAATATGTACATCCTCACATGCACACAAACACACACTCATCTGTGCCTCCTCAGACACACATACACACCCACACACACCTCCTGTGCCTCCTTGAAACGACACACATACTGCCCACATGTGTGCCTCCTCTCTCACACACAACCCAGTACTACATCTCACACTCACACACAGACACACGTCTTTGCCTCTTCATACACACACATGCATGCATGCACACCCCCTGTGCTTGTTTATACTCACACACACCCCCTGCTATGCCTCCTCATGCACACACACACAAACACCCCAATGCCTCCACACACACACAAACACACATACACACACACACAACACAGCTCAGTGCCTCCTTTCTTTCTCTCTCAGAGACACACAGACACACACACATCCACACCCACCCCTCTTCATACACACACATACATGCATGCACATACCCCCTGTGCCTCCTCACACTCACACAGCCATCTC